CAGCGTCGAGGAGACGAGTTCGAGGTTGAGTGTGCAAGTCAGGTCAGGTCCACCTAGATGATGTCATTGGCTGTGCCGTTGAAGTGGGCTGATGGGGAAGTTTCAGTGGATGCAGCTGTTTAGCGGGCTGGGGCAGCGACAAGTTGCAAGGTTGCTGGCGGAAAGCTTTTAATAAAAAAAAACCAATCTAACTCTGTCTGTGAAGTTGCAATATATGAATTCTGCAACAACCGTAATAGATTGATTCTCATCGTCGTTGCAGAACCAACTCGTCCTGTTTCAAACACGTCACCTGCCAGCCTCCTTGCTCCTTGCTCTTTCCTTGTGCCCCCTCCGGCCCCAAGTTAGCGTCTTGGCCTGCGTCGGCGGGGTTCATCAGAAAAAACCCTCAATGCCCGCCAACAGCACCAGAATTGCCAACCACACAACCTAAAATCCAACAAGCCATCATGGCCATTTCGGAGCTACCTCGTGGCACTCAGAAAAATCGTACGATCCAAGCGGGGGCCGCCGTAAAGTAAACCATTCACCCCCCTCCTACGGGCGCCTCGGGCCCTCGACCCATGCGACACCAACGTTTTTTTAGGTGGAAGCTGCATGATGGCGCACAAGAATCTCCGATACTCTTTATTGCATGCGAAATTGTCGGCTTTACCATGTTGGCACTGCCGATTGCCATCCTTGGCGCCTCTCTGACTGGGACAGCCGCAATATAATACTAAGTAGTTCCATTACTGAGATTAAAGGGATCCTTTCTCCCTGGATAATATCATCGTGAGTGATGTCTGGGCGCTTTGGCTGACAGCGATTTCTTGAACCAACCCCCTGCAGCAACGATCTTGTACGATAAATACACCGGCGAAAAACCTGCAAAATGAACCACAATTTTGCATCATGTGCACGACATGGGAGCAGAACCACTGAAATGCAAGTGTAAAAAAACCGACTGGATTGATTCTGGCCAGGCAAAGACGGTTCACAGCGAGAAGCAACCGTCGTTGCCGCCAACGGAATGCATGATCAACTACCCATCTCTGCGTAGCTGTCAGGCTCGTCACGCACCGGGCCAATGAGGTCACCGTGCCGCCGAAGCCCACCCCACCATTTTAAACGGAAGTCCGTTTTTCCTACTTCTCTGTGCGTTCTGCCTACCGTCGACATCATACGTGGAGACATATCATGCACTCTGCATTCTATCACCACTTGCATCACAGCAGCCAACACCCTGCCCTTGCCTGCTCGCTCCTCCTAACTAGCTTCAACAACTCTCGAAACAACAACACGCCAACACTGATGGATGAATCATCCTTCTGGACCCTGGTGTGTGTCTCTGCCGAACTCCACTAAAGTTGGTCTTAAAACTTGAAAGCTGCAATCGGCTTGTCGCCACCCCTGACCAATGACGGCATCGCGCGACCTGCAAACATGTTTTCGATGCGCTTGCGCTTGCACCGGGCCTGTATTAGTTCCACTGCCATACTTTCACACTCTTCAAGGGGGTCCAACCAAAACAATTGCACTGCAGATAGCCGAACCTTCTTGAATCCTGGTTTTGGGGGCTGGCTTTGGACCCCCTCGATCTCGGGACTACTGCCTCGGCCGGGACATCGTGCGCTTGTCATTTGCTCGGAACGTTCGTTGAATAATCGGTGGTCCCTGTCCCATCTGGCCCATCTTGCTTGCTAAATCACACGCCGTGACTCTCTACTGGTAACATGAGGCACTTGCGTCAAGTTGGCAAAAGTACAGGATACAGGTGGGAAACAATCAGGTAATTTGGCAACTTTTCTGCACGCCTGCCGCCACCCGCAGAAGCAATACCACCACACACCACCGACCGGATTTGGCTCAACTGCGTTTGCTCTTCGGTATGATGTCAATGGCTTCACGGCACGACTCGCCTCCGCAATCCCACCCACCACGACGGCCGGGGGGCCTGGCCAGCTTGCGCAAGGTCTACCAACAAAAAAGTGTTGATCAACATGTTGCATCATGTCGTAGCGGCCCGTGATACTCGTCGGGGCCAGGTATCATGGTCTCCGTGGTTTGGCGGCACAATGACGCCAGACGACTCAGACCAAACCCTTGACGTGCATGGCCGAGTCTCTGCGAGAGGAAGCCACCGATGCTGCAGTGGCAGATATTCCAGCTGCGCATGTGACTCAAAGACCCCTGCAATGGTTCTGTGAAAAGGCATGCAGCGTCGTCTTGTCGTATTTGCGGCGGCGGTTATTCCGCTGTGCAATGACGCGCACAGCTCGTCATCTTGGTACAGAAGTCACCAATTCGACAGCCAGTGCCCATGTGATTGATTTATTTCAAGACAATTCTTATTCGTATAGCACGAATGCATAATCCACGACTGATAGAAGGCTCTCGCTGCAAGATTCGCGATTACTGGTGTTAACTCGCTCGATATAGACTCTTCGAACGTTGAAGAGCCGCCAATCACGACTAACAACAAGAAGTTGAAAGTTTACCTGTGGCTGTACTCGTGTCGGTTCAGTATCATTTTGATTTGTCGTTCTTGCCCAAATTGTCGTCGACTGTAGATTTAGCCAGTCATCAGTGAGTGTACCTTGTTAAGACGTCGTTCACCGATTCCAGCTCCACTCCCAGTCGCTCTTCACCCGACGCACTTTCATATCCGTAGTCAACTTTTGCATAATATCAGAATAACGGATTGGAACAATTTTTCTCATCAGGCAAGCTACTCATCCGACACTATTCACTCCCTCCTCCCTCTCCAAGAATACGGCCAACATGGCCAACATTGCCTCGGGCATCTCATCCAACCAGGACGCCCTTCCCATGCCGCCAGACTTTTTGAACGTGCCGCAGCTGGCTATCTGCCCGCCCGCGCCTCTCCTCCGGCCTCCCCCGCGCTTCATCACTACCGACGGCATCATCACGCTCCGCCGCTGGCGCTTCTCCGACGCCTCCGCCCTCATCCGCATCACCAGCGCCTCGCGCAGCCGTCTCGCCGCGTGGATAGCCTGGCCGTGGCGTTCCTCACCGTGCACTCTTGACGAGGCAATGGCGTTTACCCAACAAATGGCACAGCGGTGGGATGAAGGACAGAGCTGGGAGTATGCCATTACGGTGCAAGGTGAGGGGGAGGAGGAGGAGGAGGAGGAAGTGGTGATTGGCTCGTGCAGGCTACGGCGCAGAGAGGACCATCCGGGCGTGGACGCGGGGTACTGGCTCGCAGAGAGCAGCACGAATATGGGGTACGCGACGAGGGCGGTAAAATTGTTGGTGGAGGAAGCATGGAGGATGGATGCGGTGAGTGTAAGGATTGTGCCTGACAGGGGAGACGGGAAGGGTAGAGACGTGCTGGAGAGGCTGGGGTTTGAGTGCCAGGGTGAAGTGGACACGGGGAGAAAGGAGGATGAGAGGATGGACATGGCTTGGATCAAATACGCGGAGCCTTGATGGGGATGATGTAGTTGGGATTTGGAGGTTGTGGTATTTGACAAGGGTAACTGGAGAGGGATGGGATTAATAGCAAAGACTGGCGTTTGGTAAAGGCATTGAAGAGTGTAACTGTTTACTCGATTAATGTAAAATGCCAACAAGAAACCCGTGGGTCTATCCTTCATAGAGTACTGTCGACACATGCCCTTTTCAACACTTTTACGCAATCTTAATGGTTGACTTGCACCATGTAGACGGCAAACACTCCGTGACAAGCAGTGATGATATCCCAGTTGGTATCTTCAATCTTGCAAGAAACCGCGATGTCTCCTCTTTCCCGAATTTATTTCTAATGAATGATAAATTCAAGGAAGGCACATCTCAGCAACGCAAATGTCCGCTCCCGCCAAGGTGTATGCAACTCGGTCGCTTCGTCGTCTCGCCGCCATCTCCGCCTGCCGCCGGGCCAGCTTCCGAAGCCGGCGCTATTCACTGTCCGTGATTGGTCTACGCGACGCCAGGACGGCAGTCGCAGCAGGGCAATTTCCAACCAAGCCACTTTTTACAAAGTACAAGTCATAGGGAGAAAAAAGGTAAAAAGGGTATGTCTGGTTAGTAGAGTGTGAAATGGAACAGCAGTATTTAGAATAAGTTTTCGCGAGAGCAATCATATGACTTGCACGTCACGCATGCAGTCGGAGTAGAGTATGTAGACGCTTGATTTCAGTATCGATACTTGGCTGCATTGCTCCATGCTGCAGAAGCTGGCACTTAGGCTACTGTCGCATTACGGCATTGCGTTTTCAAAATTTGTCCACAAAACTACAAGAGTATTCGGAAAGAGGAAAATTTTTTCACTCTAATTCGTTTCATCGTCTTGAAATGTATTAATCGTGACGGAATGGCTTGGAATGGCTTGATGCTAGGCTACTGCTAGCCCACAGCATATGGCAATGACCCACACTGTAGCAACCATCGCGACAACAATAGCTCGAATTGTGACCTTGCATCTTGCATCTGTCACACAGCAAATTAAAATCGCGCATAATATCCGATAACTTGACTACTTTGCCTCCAACGATATTGACATATATAGCAGGCTTATCAAACGTACTCGGCGCGAGCTGCCCCAGCAGGCATTGCGCCTACATGGCCAGCGCCATTCTCGTGCTCTACCCATAGCCCGCAGCAAACGAAGACCGACAACCGACACCTTTCGACTTTCTTCGCAGCGCAGCCATGGACAGTCAGCCGTCGGCCGCCCGAGGTACGCTGCAGGAGGCGGTCAAGTACTGGTCTGACTTTGTCGCGCGGTGCATCGTGCAGCGGCTAGACAGCAACCGCTTCCAGGACTTTGTGCAGCTCGTCCACGCGCGGCACCCGCTGCCGCCCGTGCTCATCGCCGACCTCTTCCTCCGTCCGCAGCCTTCGAACCGCGTCAGCCTCGATCCGCGCATCCCACCGTATGTGCGAATTCTCGCCCAGCTCCGCTACGTCGACGCGCCGTCCATCTTGCGCGTGCTATACAAGTACTCGGCGCTGCACGCCCATGACAGGCCACCGCTGCCGCTGCCGTCGTCGCTGCCCGAGAACGGGGGAGACGGCGAGACGATGAAGAAGGAGGAGGAAGAGGAGAAGGGTGCTGGCGGCGGTGGGGTGATGAGGCAGGACAAAATGGTGCGCTGGCAGGAGTCGGCTTGGGCGGAAGAGGTCCTGTTTTACCACGTTATAAAGACCATGTTTGAGGGCACGGCGTTTACAGACGCCAAGACGGGTCTGGAGCTGGTGGACATTACTTGCAAGTGGATGGACCTGTTTGTGCATGCCAGCTCGGAACTGGCGGCGGATATGCTCGCCAACAAGCACGACAGACAGGCTCGCGACGAGATGGAGACGGTGCGCGCAGCACTTGTGCCTCTGCTTCTTAGACTGGTGGATAATCACGAGCTGCTACGCATCATTAGCAAGCCGTTTGCAAAAGGTGAAGAGAACGTGTTGGCAAGTCATGGCTGCATAGTAAGGCTAACCAGAGCGCAGGCATCCGAAAGCATTTATCAGAAAGCCTTGGCAATTTTATACAAACTGTCCAGCCTCCACCTCTTTACATTGAGAGACTGGAAATCTTCCGCACGCAGACGCTTGCACAGCTGGACCCTATCGATGAGAAGAAGAAAGCTGCCAACGCAGCCATGGAAGAGCTGCTTGACTCGACCGTTGGTTCAGACAACTTTGTTGTTCCCGATATCCTCATCTCCAACTCGCGGGCTGCGCTTTACGTCTACCTCAATGCGGCAGTAAGTTTCTTTCAAGCGTGTTGAATAATCCGCCACTGACGAAATTCGAAGCTCGTTGCACGGCCTGTGCTGGATGATTCTATGCTCTATGCATTCTTGAGCAACAAATACCAAGAAAACCAACAAGCGAGTGCGGTCGATCTTATCGTCGCCTCATTCGACGTGCTTGCCAACGCCGTGTTTCGAAACGAGGGCCCCAGAGACGCTCATCTTTTGCGATCCTTTGTGGTCAACAAGCTGCCGCTTCTGCTTTGCCAGCTGTGCCATCCAGAGTTCTCGGCGGCGTCGGCAGAGTTCTGCATCACAGAGGCATTGAGTCGCGTCGACACCGGCATCTTCCCCACAGCCTCTCTCATGTTCGACGAGTCGCGAAACAACAATCCCTACATGGATAGCGTGCGAGAGGAGTTTTGTGCGGCGTGTGCGTTGCATGGGCTGATAGAGAGAGACCACGTCGACCGCATACTCGGAGAAACATCCATGTCGTATGACCCATCGCTGGAAAGGGCTAATAGGGACAGGCTCGTCAGCGATTGCTTGTCTGACTCTGGCAGGATACAAAATATAATCTCACAACTAGATAGGGTGGACGGCAATGTTGGAGCTGTGGCTCATGCCATTGTCGAGGTAAGCATTCCAACTAAGGTGCAGCATCAGAATCTAACGTCTTTAGTTGATTCGACAACTGTGTAACAACAAGGATACAACATCACTGAAGCTTCTTTGCCTGCAATTATCCCAAAAGCCTCAATCATTAGACATCATTCTTCTTTTCGACAAAGTCACATCGGTGCTAGAGCCTGTGTGCACGCTTCTTGACAATTGGAATTACGAGGAAGACCAGGGCGAGTACCAACCCGTATATGAAGAATACGGTGCGATTCTTCTTTTAGTATTCGCCTTTACCTACCGCTATAACCTTTCCCCCCTGGACATTGGCATCCAGTCGGCCGACTCGCACGTGGCCAAGATTATCGCCAAGTCGCACATGCTGCGGCCACTGGAGGACCTGAACGAGCAAGAGGCGGAACATGTGGCTGGTTGGATCACCGGCCTCTTTGATAACGAAACTGGTGGCCTGGGAGACGACCTCATGTCCTCGTGCCCGCCGCACGAGTTTTATCTGCTCGTGGCGCCGATTTTTCAGAGCATCATCACTGCTTACACGTATGGCTACATTAACGACGAGAGCCTCAAAGGCGGTGTTGAATGTAAGTTGGAATGCCGGAGAAATTTAACCCAATGTACAAGACTAATGTGATGCAGACTTGGTCGACACATTTCTGTTGCCGTCGCTAGTGCCGGCCATTAGATTCTTGTCCGACTACATATGGATAGATGAAAAGGAGCAAAAGTCCATTGTCAAGGCTTTGCAGCTACTGCTCACGCCTAGCTCCATCTCAGGCGAAGCAAGCACTGTGCTGTCGGCGGTGAAGAACCTCATCGCACAGCCACTCGAGCACGCACTGCGAACCTACCAGCGTCAAGACCCCCGTAACCAGGACATTGAACCGCTGCTGAGGTCGCTCAAGGAGAACCTGCCGCTCTCGCGACGAACCGGCGGTCCCGAGCACCACGAGATGGTATCGTGGGCCAACAACTCGAACAGCGGGCTGTCTGGGGCCATCCGGCACACCATACAAGGGCTCGTGCAGTGGAGCCTGCAGCCCGGCGTAAACGTGATGCCGACGTCGTACACGCATCGCCAGCTCATCACCGGGCTGCGCATCATTGGCCCGAGCCGGCTCCTGCGGCTCATAATGGAGGAGGTTCGGCAGCAGAGCGAGCTGGGCAACGCGTCGATCGTCTACGACGTGGCCGCGGCGCTCATCGCGGCGACAGACCCGACCAACGAGGCGCCGCCGGGGCCGAACCTGCTCGACACAGCGGGCACCATGCAGGCGACGCCGCCGCCGCAAAGGCCGCAGGGCCTGCGAGAGGCGCTCAAGACGGCGGCAGAGGGCTGCAAGCGCCTGCAGAAGCACGACCAGTTCCTGGCGGAGGCGACGGTGCGGCTGCACCGCCGCGTCGAGATGCTGCTGGTCGTGCCGCAGCCGCAGGCCATGCTGCAGACGACGGACATGCCGCTGGACCTGGGTGGCGATGCCATGGCGGCGGCGGCGGCAGCAGCAGCAGCGGTGGGCGCGGACCCGATGAGCGTGGACGGGTTGGACACGACGGGGCTGGACACGACAGGCCTGGATCTGGGCCTGGGTGCGGATATGGGCTTATCTGGGGGCGGCAGCGATGGGGATTTGTTTGGCGGCCTGGACACGAGCCTAGACATGTTTGATGGGTGGGACAGCATGGATATGGGAGTCAACTAGGACGTTGTTCTTATGCTTTGGTTTGTGTTGGTATCGCGACTGATTCTCTGTTTAGGTGTTGTGTTTTGAAAGGGAAAGTTTTAAAGGGAAAGTTTTTGAAAGGGAAAGCGAGTCAAAAATCCGGAAAAGCGCTTCTCTGAAAAGTTGGTTAATTAGATAGAAAGCAATCCAGCAATCAAGTATTGTTAAACACACAACTCTACAAAGATGATTGGTATTATGCCGCAGATGATGACTGGATTAGCAGCTCTGGCAGCATATGCCCGGACGAGCGCTGAGCTGTGGAGTCGACTCGGGTACATCCGCGCCCGAGTGTCTGCTGCTACTGAGAAGTGCTGTGTAAATACCTAGCATTCATTGTATGCTAGGAACACGTAGACTTGTACTAAGGTATAGCCCCGTTTGACGAGGCAACGCGACGAGAAGCCACCTTTCCACGAAACAACAGGTCGTCGCTGACTTGGCTTGCAGCTTTGTACGAGTTTGAGCAAGCCTGTATTCGTAGCGAGCTAAAAGATCATTCGGAATAATAATAAATTTATGCGATTTTTAGGCCTGTTGAGTCGCAGACAATACCACCGACTCGCCCGCACAAGGTAGCGAGCGGCCCCTGTAACGGCCCGCCCCAGGGTCTCTCTCCAATTGGGGACACGGGGATGCTCAATTCCACCACATATGCCTTTGCTCTTCCTCCTCCCACACTTTTACAACTGTTTCCATCTTCTTTCCTTTCCTTTCCTTTTTTGCTGGGGTCGAAACACTGCAAGCGCATCGTTTTCTTCTCTTCTTCCTTATTTTTTTTTTTCCTTTACCTCCAATCGTCTTCTGCCTGCCCGTCATGCTCTTCAAGTCGTCCCTCCTCGCCCTGCTGGCCGTCCAGGTCTTTGGCGCTCCCGCCCAGGTAAGCTTCTTCCAATCGCAGCGAAGAAAGAATAGACATGCTCCGTGAAAAGCTGAGCCCATTGGCCTTTCTCCCCCCGCCCAACTTTCATCCTCGCTACTCTATCCCAAAGATTGATGTTGCTGACCCCGCGCTCGCCTTGTTTCCCCCTAGTCCGATGAAGCCGCCGCCGCCGCCCCCGCGGAGCTCAAGGCCAAGATCACGGCCTCGTTTCCCGACGCCGAGCAGCTCATCGGGCTGCGCCTCGTCAACGGCAAGCCGACGCGCGCCGTCGTCGACGTGACCAACAACGAGGACGGGCCGATCCAGATCGCCTTCGTCTCGGGCACGCTCTCCTCGGACGCGTCGACACCGCTGCTGCCCGCCGACGCGCCCCTCTACCAGCGCATCGTGCACAACCTGACGGCCGCCGAGTACAACCTGCCCGTCGCCGCGGGCGCCTCCGCACAGCTGCCCTACGCCTTTGCGCTCGACCTGCAGCCCCAGGACGTCCGCGTCCAGCTTCTGGCCGTCGTCACCGACGCAAAGGGCGGCATCTTCCCCGTGACTGTGTACAATGGCACCGCGTCCATTGTCGAGGCCCCGACCAGCTTCCTCGACCCCCAGATGTGAGTCAGAGCCTTGTCCCTTCACTTTTACCCGTTGTTGTTCGGGGGCTTTTGCGCGCGTATATGGTGTGCTGACATGTTGTGTGTGTGTGTGTGTGTGCGCGCTGTAGCATCTTCCTGTACCTCGTCCTCTCCGCCGCCTTTGCCGGCGCCCTGTACTTTGTCTACAAGACCTGGATCGAGGCCCTCTTCCCTCCCGCCAAAAAGGCGCCCCGCACGCCCAAAAGAGCCAAAAAGGCCGACGCCGATACCGCTCTCTCCGGCTCCGAGTCTGTGGCGACTGCGACCGGCAGCAAGACGTACGACGAGAGCTGGATCCCCGACCACCACATTGCCCGTCCTGCCGGCAAGCGCTCCAAGTCTGGCACGCCCAAGGCTAAATAAAAAGGGCCTCACGCGGGCTTGATGGTGTGGGAAAAAAATCACGCGAGAGATGTAATTTTATCGGCGCTCTCTATGAACGGTGAAAAAAGCCGCAGATGGAAAACGCATGGCTTGAAAAAGGGCAAAAGGCAGGGGGGCGACTGAGTACGGGTTGCGACGGCAAAAGCAGTCTGGCGTACAATACGTCATTTCTGCTCGGGGAATGATAATGGCCAAGAGGGACATGTAGAAATAACAAGAGCAAAATTTTTATCTAAAAGGTTACCAAGAGTACTCGAGTTTCGTTGAGCTGGTAAACGTTCAACCTGCGCCCTGTGCCTTGTCTTGTTTGATACGACAAGTCTTGAATTTGGACTGGTGGTTGTTGATTGCAGGTTTCGATCTCTTTCTAGCCTGAATCTGAACCGACATTCCAGCGCAAAGGATGTGCAATTGTTCCTTTGGCGCAAGACGGCGAGCACTACCTCGACGCCATTCACTCAGACCAAGTTACTACCGTGATGCTAATAAATATATATATTGCTGATTACAGCTACCCCAAGCCAGTAGACTCATAAACTCGTCATGTTCCGGCTGCTCAAGATACTCTCTCGCCCATATCTTTACATTGTACATGATTCTTACAGTGGTGGTACATGGTTTCACTCAATGTTTCTCGAGCTTGCGGCTTCCGCAGCCAGGTACGACATGACGGCCCTATTCTTGAACCGCTCGTCGCCACTCCTCCCGCCACCGCCGCCGCCGGCGGTGGTCTCGGCAGCGTCGTCCCCTTGTACATTGCCAAACAGGCACTCCCACAAATCGCCCTTGTCAATCATTTCGCCCGCGGTCCTGTCCTTGCTCATCAGCTTGGACAGTGCCGCGTGCTCCATCTCCAGCGTGTTGGCCTCTTCGATGCTCGCGTCGAGCGGTTCCGGTGTGGACTTGCTTCTGCTACTGCTGCCGTTTTTGTTGTTATTCCTGCTACCGTTCGCAGCAGTCGCCGTACGACCCATGTGCTCCAAGCGCCGCCGCACCGACAGGTTGTATATGGATTCCTCGACGGTGCCCGAGACGAGGTACAGCCAAACAGTGGTCTCGTGCTGCTGGCCAATGCGGTCCACACGCGCAATGGCTTGCAGCTCGAGCGCCGTGTGCAGCAGCGGCTCGCACAGGAAGACGTGGCTGGCGTTGACGAGGTTGAGGCCCGAGGCGTGGGCGCGCGCGTGCAGCAAGAAGCACTCGGCGGCCGGGTCGCTCTTGAAGCGCGCGATGCCGTCGCCCTCGTCAATGGAGGCGTATCCGATGCGAAAACGGCGCAGCGCATTATGCAGCACTGTTAGAAAATCGCGGTACTGCGAGAAGATGATGGACTTGGCGCCCGGGTCCACCTCGCGCAGCCACAGCAGGTGTCGCACGAGCGTGTCCACCTTTGTGGTAAACGAGGGTCCGTCGAGGTCAATGTTCTTGATCTCGGCCAGCTTGTCCGCGTTGAACTCGCTGTAGATGACGCCGTTGCGCAGGCCGCCGCTGGTATGCTGCCGTCGCGGCTGGCCGGCGCCGTTGCTGCCGCCTTCGCTCACAATCTGTAGCTGCTGCGGCTTGATGGCAATGTCGTGCAGCTGCTCAACCTTGAGCTGCTTCTTGCACACGGGGCAGTTGCGATGCGACTTGTACCATATCATCATGCACTCCTTGCAAAACTGGTGGCCGCAGACGGTCAGCACGCCCGTCACAAACGGCGCCTGGCAGATGATGCACATGCGCGGCTCGTTGGACCTGCCGCCGGGCCCGCCTTCGCCGCTCTCCTTGAGATTCCTCAGGTATCGGTTCTTGGCCTCGCTCGAGAGTAACTTCTTGTGTGCGTCCTGTTCCAGCTTGTTCAGCCGCTCTTCGACCTGTACCGTCTTGTCGCCTTGATAGGGGAGCACAGCGTCGGATACCGCCTGCAGCTGGCGGTAGTACTCGAGACGAGCATTCATGGCATCCTTGAAGCTCTCAATCTCGGATTCGAGCGCCGTCGCTGCCTTGTTCTGCTGGCTCAGAAGCTCCTGCGTGCGCTTTAAGTGTTCAGAGACAATCTGGAGCTCCATGGCTTCGCGGTTGCTGCTGGGTGCGTCTCGATTTAGTCGAGTCTGTAGGCCTCGAAGCTCACCGATTGCGCCACGCATTGATGTCTGCGAGCGGTGCGGTTTCATCTGTTTCCTGACTTTGAGTAGCGCTAGCATCTTCTCCGGGGCGGGACCGCCGCCGTTTTCTGCTAGTTTGATACTCGTCTCAGTCTCGTGCTTGACCAGCTCATTCGTCTGTCCAGATAAGGCATCTTGGCGGTCTGCAATAACGCTTCGTAGCGCCTGCACATAGACCATTAAATCGTCTTGAAATTTGGCAGAATCCACAAGCTCTTCACCGGTAAACTCAACATCATCCTCTTCATCCAGAAGTGGTTGTAGAAGTAGCTGTACCACCTGCTCCCGCCATTCGTCCATGACGTTGGCCTGCTCGTTGAGCTCTTCAAAGAGCACTTCCAATCGGTCAACGACTCTGCCACTTTCGATACCCTTTTCTGTTTTGACGACAAGTTCGGGGACTTCCACAAATGTTTGGTTGTTGGCTTTTCTCCTGATCCTGACCATATGACGGTTTGCCTTTCGGTAGCTTTCTTGCAGAATTTCTCGTCGCAGGACCTTTGCATTCTCGTACCCTTCGTCCTCGAGTTTCTTGAGGCGATGAAATTCTTCAGAGTCTGGCTCCGTCATTTCCGGGTTGTCGCGCATCTGAAAGTTGGCATTGGCGCAAAAGAATACTGCCTTGTGGTGTATCTCCAGTGCAGAACGTAAGCGCCGATGTAGCTCCGAGAGCTTGCCTCTCGAGTCGATTGTATCCATGTCGCTCTCAGATTCAGAATCAGAGCCGTGTATTCTGGTGGCAACAGGCTCGGGTTGTGAGTCTTGCGATCGCTTCAGCTCTTGAATGCCGGTGGCGAGTTTCGATCTTGCATCCTCAAGAAGCTTCGCTGTCTCCTCGCGAACTTCTTCCCATATGGCGAGAGCCTCCTTGACTCGTGGGCTGTTTTCGAAAAGCTGACCGCGCGTCAGCCTGGCTGACAAATAAGCCCTCTCTTCATTGCGAATAGCCGCTTCGCTCTGCTCCAACATGGCATTGAGTACTTCCTCAATGGTACGCATCGGCCGTTCTTTATTGTGTCCAAGCAGACGTCGGCTATACACTCCTACTTCTGGATGCAGTGCTGTTTGGCGCAATCTGGTCAGCCATGTACGCATCTGCGTCTCGTGATCTTCAAATTCCCAGTCGTCAGTCGTCGGAGTCCCAGTCAGTGTCAATTGACAGTCCTTTGCCATGTCAATGAACAAGCTTTGATAATGTTGCTCCTCGACCGCACTAAAAGGCATGCTAATAACATAGCGCTTTTGAGGCGGCAGAAGAATCTCGTCTCTCACCAGCGCCTTTGTATGCCGTAGCGCAAGTGACTGGAATAATTTTTGGAATAGCGGCTTATGGAAGGTGATGAGCGCATTCCATACTTGATTTGCATAGCAATATGGCTGATAGCGGAGAAACAACAGTAAGCCAAATAAATCCTTCACATCGTCCTTGACTGGGGTTCCTGTGATGCCCCATGCGTTGGTTCGCGGGATAAGGCGAGCAACTGAAGCAGCCTGGCTTACACCATTCTCAATCATCTGAGCTTCGTCAAGACATACTCTCCACCAGGATATTTGTACGAGAGGCGACTTGGGGCGTTTATAAGCTCGTTCAAAGCGACGTGAGCGTTCAGGCGGGTCAGTAGCGAAGTGGAGTTCTTGGGATAGAACAGAATATGTTGTTATGACGACATCAGACGACGCGAGCTTGGCCACTGCTGTGCCTTCTTCGTCTTCCTCGAGCTTCTTGCAGCCTTGATAGTGAATGACCCGGAGAGACGGTGCATGGGTTGCGATCTCGGTCATCCACTGTTGTCGGAGAGGTTCTGGCGTGACAATGAGAGTAGCTTTTGTGTGCAAAAGTCCATCGGAATCCTCCTGGGAGTCTGGTATCTCATGGAGAAGCTCTGGTCGCTGGTTCAATAAGATCAGTCCAATAATCTCGAGAGTTTTGCCAAGGCCCATCTCTTCGGCCAGAATACCTCCTTTCATTTCTCTGTCAGCAAGGTGATAGGGAGTCTTGTTGCGCGTAACGACGTGCAACACATCACTTAGGTAAAAATCATTCCCTTCTGCATCCTTGACTTGGCGAAAAGTATCACAAACAGAATGTGGAACAGAGTCTGCAATGGGTTCCATGCCGGCAGCTGTACATTGGGTGCCCTCGCGATGTAAAAGCCACTTCACGGTCCGTTTCTGATATGGAAAAAGGGTAGCATCTAATGATGGGATTTCAATAGATGCGGAGTCTGCATCGTCTTTGGGGGGAACGTAGGCTGCTTCGTAAAAGTCCATTGGCGACCAGGCAGAAGAGTTGGTCGCTGCATGGGGGAAATATGTATCGATGATGGCTTGGCTCTCTTTCCGCTCGACAGTGGTTCGCATCGTGTAATATGGCGACGGAGTTTCATTCCACATTATGGCAAACGTAAACGCACAAGTGAGCATGCCTTGCGCAATTTCGAGCCGTGCGTCGACCTTGGTCCATAGCAATCCGTGCGCGCTCCGTCGCACTGGCTGCGACATGAATTTGAACATAGTGTCCATTCCAGGCTCGACATCATCACTTTGTATTGTGACGGTAAAGGCAGGAAGACCAATAGCCTTGTCACGGGCTCTGAGACCAAGCAAATTGTCGCCGTATCGAAAGGTGACGTGGGGTCCGACGTCGGGTTTGACGGACAGGTGGTCGTTCGTTTCGCGGCGCTCAATCGTACGAGTAAAGGATATCGTACTCTGTTCAACACAGATAGAACCATTCGGAGGAGCCTCTGTGGTCTTGCGACGTTTTGCAGCGTTTTCACGGCTTACACCATTGGGCATGATATGGTGCTCAGAGCCGGACGGGAGCGCCTGGAGCGCATCGACGATGTCGGAGGATAGGGCATCTGCAGGAACACTTTGGCATTAATTTCGTGTCTTTTTGTTCGTGTATGTCTATTATGATGGCATACCGTTGAAATCGAACCGGCTGTATACCGTCCGTACCGGCATTCGTGAAGTGCGCTTCCTTCGCGGCATAATGGGGGTTTATGAGGGTGATTTGCGCGAGCTTGAAGCTCGAAGTGGCATCACGCAGTCATGAAGGAGGATTTTTTGTCGCTGCGGACTGATAAAAATCGGCAGGGACAAGTGATTAAGAAGTGAGGCACGGATGGCGCGAAAAAGATGGTTGTAGTCAAGCATATTCAATCCCAATTCAATCCCAGGCACTTCTGCCTGGTGGATCCACAGCGTTTGCCTTGTCACGTAAGAAGTGTCAAAGTTGCGAACTAAATCAAGGCAGCACAAATCAGGCACACAACAATTCTAAGTTCCTTCGTTGTAGGGGGTCCAATATGCTTTTTTTTTCTCAGATGCCAGATTTCCAAAGTTGAAATTGCAGTCTACAAGGCCAATTGGTACGTTCGCAACGTTTGAAGTTCGTCACCTCACTGTGAATGATTCGCACGCAGCCTTGCGGCGGCCCACTTCGAACACGACAGCCTCGCTTACATAACGCAGCCAATCGGCGACAAATTTCGAGCTTCATTTACAGGCAAGACACCCTTTCCATCCGTCCGAGTGAATGGTGAATTGCGTCGCATTCTCCTGCTGGATTGGGCTCCAGAGTTAACTTGTCTTTCTTTTCTTCATAATTGCGAGACTCCGGCCTTTTTGCTCACAGGTTGCCTACCAATTGCCTCTGCGACGTTCCAATCTCTGACCCCTTACCTCGACAGACATCTCGACAATGAGAGTCCAAAACCTGTGGTCGTCGCTACGACCACTCGTCTCAGCGCCGACGACCAGCGCATTCAGCAGCCAAATACGATGTCTACACAGGACACGGCCTCGTCCCACGATTCCCGAACCCCGACCATTTGTCCCCGATGTCGAGACGTTTCTGAAGCTCATTGGCCGCGGCCTGAGCAGGCACGCGAGCAAGTTTCCCTCATGGGAGGCGCTCTTCACCATGACCTCTGTGCAGCTTAAAGAGCTCGGCGTCGAGCCCCCGCGCACACGACGATACCTCCTGCAGTGGATGCAGCGCTACCGCAAGGGCGTTGTCGGCCCCGGCGGCGACTTCAAGTTTGTGCAGGACGGCGAGGCGCACCTGCGCGTCGCGATGCCGCCGGCGGGCGCCGCCACGGATGCGCGATGGGTGGTCAACGTACCCCACGGCGAAGGAATCAACCCGCAAACTACGGAGGAGACGTATCCTCGGCCAAAGGGCTACTCGGTCCGCGGCCTGAAGACGATAGCCGGCAGCTACGCCACCGAGCTGCCGGACAAGGGCGGTGCCGTGGTCAAGATTACAGAAGGCATGTGGGAGCAGAAGCAGGGAAGAAAGATTGACGGTGGTGAGCGCAGAAGGGCAGAGACGCGCTTCAAGAAGCGCTCCGCGGCGCGCCGTTCCGAGCGTGAGGCCGAACTGATGAAGCACCTGTAAATTATAACAAAAGGAGAGTATGGCCGGGGTTGTCAGCATATAAAACCCATACCTTGTACCAATTCATTGTCAGATTATAATTTGATTCCGTCCGTCTAAGCCGGTGATGCTTCTGCTGTGCTTATATTTCGACTTTGTGGTCGGGTGAGGATGCCCTCCCAGGCTTCTGTGGTTTGGCTCAGAGGACTCTTGTCAAAGACGCGCCAGAGGACTTTTGTCAAAGACGCGCCAGAGGACTTTTGTCAAAGACGCTCCAGAGGAAGATTTACATGTGTACCCGAATTGGGACCAGAACCTGGTCATGGCAAACGTCCATGTTCTCTGCCTCCACGGGCCCCACGAACTTCGATCCTCCGTCCATCTGAGATGCAATCATTCTCTGCCGGCATTACCGACTTTCTGAATAATGAGACATTTGGGATTCATTGACTTTCTACTGCCAGTCCTTTTACTGTCCTCTCCTACGGGTGAAGGGGTCTTTCGACCTAATTAGAGTGGCAGAGAACAGGGTGCACAAGCCACATCCGCCACCGCTAATAATACCCTGAGCCGAGAAACCCAGGTTAATTCGGGATTGAACCAAAGGTAGGCTTTAGAATTCTCTACCATAGGTCTGTCATGGAGGTATGAGGTGTTAGGCCTGGGTATAGTTTGCTAGCTGTAAATTCGGTATGTCCGGGCTACCTCCGTCTGAGAGTTCGTCCAGCGGAACTGGGCGGCGTTTACGGCCCGATAAGTTCCGTACGACCCGGAAACAGCCACACTTTTCAATTTTTCAACTCTTTCCTTTGATTCAACTGCTGCTTATTCTCTCATTGACAATTTGCTACATGTCGTCGATTCCGAGGCCGTCTCTCCGGATAGCAGTCGTGGGCGCTGGCCCTGCGGGCCTCTGTGCCGCAACAGCGCTTCGGCAAGAAGGGCATATTGTCACCGTCATTGAGAGGCAGAGGTCTCTCCAACGTCGCGGGAACGCACTTGTAATACAGCCAGCAGCTGTTAAAGCCCTGGGAAGCATCAAGGGAGCGCATGAAGCACTCAGTCGTGTTAGCGTCGCGAACAAACAGCTGTGGTGGTGGTCATACAAAGACAGCGAGCCCTTGGCGATCACACAAGCCGTGGAGAAGAGGTTTGACACCGATCGCCCGTCTGTGCAGAGGGTCATGCATAGTCTTGCGATAGAGTGCGGCGTTGAAGTTCTTTTTGGCAGAAATATCGTGTCAATCACTGATCATCCGGTTCAGCCTGTGATCACAACTAGCGACGGTGACAGCATCTCAGCTGATTTAATTATAGGCGCAGATGGTGAGCTAGGCTTAAATTCGTTGCATTATTGTAACTAAAATTGAACAGGAATCAAATCGGCAATACGAAAGCAGATATTTCCAGGCGTTGATGTTGACCCCATCACCACCAGAGAAGCCATCTTCCTCTCGTCGCTGCCGGGTTCCGTCATCCGGGGAAACAAACAGCTTGCTGATCGCTTCGCTCCTGGAATAACTCACGGAACAATGGGCCCTGGCAGATTTACACTGAGCCGGTGGCTAAACGACGACATCTTTGGCGTACAGTTTGTCGACGTGGACCACGGCGAGCCGTCCGCTGTCGACAGCAACTGGAACACGCCCGCGGACGTGGGAGAACTGCGCCGCCTATTTTCCGATTTCAACTCGTCCACGCGACTGCTGCTAGACAATATTCAAACTGCCGAACGGTGGCAGATTGCGACAGGCGCGAAGCTGGAGACCTGGCGCAGCAGGAACGGGCGCATCGTCTTACTGGGGGACGCGGCGCACGCCATGATTCCACATGCGGCGCAGGGCCTGAGCCAGGGTATCGAAGACGGCGTCAGTCTCGCTCGTATGCTTCGAAACACTGAAGCCTGTGGTATATCACGAGCAATCGATGCTTGGGTGAAGCTGCGCAAGCCTCGCGCCGAGCTATTCGCGCAACGGTCGTTGAACAATGCCGTGCTGCGCAGCCTTCCCGATGGTCCCCAACAAGAGCTCCGTGACCAGAAGATTAAGCAACTGACTAAACAGGCCAGTCAGGACACTGCAAATGTGGTGATGGACATGCACGCAGAGCAAAACAGTCCGCCGTTTCAAAAATGGATGAAGGAATATGACGTCGTAAATGAGGTAGGCCGTTACACTGCCACTAATGTAGTACGTGTTAACGCAAATTAGTCCAGACTGGTAAATTCAACTTGGAAAATCAGGCAATATGATAAGACGTAAGAATGTGCTATTTTTGTGCCACGATTCGGAACGGGTTGTGCGGAGGCTTTCTGTTGTTTCAAGGGCATACATAATCTGGTGGTACGGCGATCATCGAGTATGGTGCCGCGCCGTACGCCGAGGTGCAAGAAATGAAGAAAACGACGACTAAACAAAGCAAATTGTTATACCTATCAAGGCACTGAATTCTCATTAGCTAGAAGCCAGGAAGGCCCTACTTTAATTAATATAGGAGCACTTATATATAGTCTATAAATATACTAACTTATAAGATAATAATTAATTAATAATATAAATTTAGACTAATAACCTTATAATAATTATTATAATTTTAACTAATATAGTTAATAAGTAAGTAACGTAGATAA